TTTTTTTTTTTTTTTTTTTTTTTTATTTATTCTATGAGAAGTATTTTTTACGTTGCTGCTTTTAAAATTCTGCTCGTTTAAATTCAACCGTTTGTGAAATTAAATCCGAGCCTTGTTTCTAATATTAATCGATGAGATCAGCAGCCGCCATATTTGAAAAGATCGAAGCTTCGTTCGATTATTTTAAAAATTTAAATATTTATCAATCCTATCATTAAAAACAAATCGATCTTAAATAATTATTGAAAAACTTAAAGACCATCGGTTATTTATTTTAATTACAATTTTTCTTTTCATTTATCTATTTTTTTCATTTAATAATATTAATATTAATAAAAGACCAACAGCAGCAGCAGCAGCCGCCATATTGAAAAAGATCGATAAATTTCATTCGATTCTTTCAAAATCAAATTTTAATCGATCCTATATAATATTTTTAAAAACTTCAGGGGGGGGGGTAGTGGTCCATCGCGCATTATTTATTATAATTATTATTTTCTTTTTTTATTTATTTATATATTTTACTAATATTAACAAAAAAAGTAACACAAATTACTTCTCACAAGAAAAAGAAAAAGAAACAAAATATCCCAAATAACATACATATAATCCACAAATTATTCTCTCAATTACTATTACTACTACTATTACTACTACTATTTACTATTTACTATTTACTATTACTACTATTTCTACTTTTTATCAGAGAGAGTATCCATTTTTTGTTCTCTTTTCTCTTTTCCATTACTTCCCACCATAGCCAACGTCATCGACCTTGAATGGTTTTCGACGGTGTCGAGCACTATACGATTGCGAGGCTGATAACGAGGACGAGTTATCATTCCGTGAGGGTGAGGTTATAATAGTAACTAACGAACAAACCGACGATGACAATTGGATGGAAGGTGCATTGGAAAGGGCACCTGAAAGGAGAGGAATGTTCCCGATAAGCTTCGTTCACATGCTGCAAGATTAACATTCGGTAAGCCTAAACTCGTTGGCAAGTGTCTCGAGTACGGCAAGTTCAGTAAGCATCGCCAGTCTTGGAAGAAGAAATTGGCTGAGAAAACAAAAGGATTGAAGGAATTTCAGAAGAATTTCAACGATTTCACCAAAATTTTCCGGGATTTAGAGACGTGAATCCTTTTATTTATTAAGAATATTTCGGTTTTTATATTAGAGAGAGGGAGGGGGGTTTGTTAAGGGAGGATAATATGAAAATGGGGATCAATCAGGGAGAAGAACCACGTATAAATAATGAGTTTTATTTTTGTTGTTGTGTTTTTGTTTTCGTCCTATTTCAAAGTTGAACGGAAATTGTGTTCCTCAGTTTTTTTTTTTCTTCTTCTCTCTCTATTTTTTCCTTCTATGTTTCTCGTTGTTTATATTTTTTCTTTTGTTATAATTTGGTGGAAAGAACAAAAATATGTTGTCCCGATTATAAATTAGTCTTGTTAACGTTCAAATATTTTGAATAATGATCACGTGATCAATTTTTGTTTTTTTTTTTTTCGGTTTTATTACAAAGCAGAAAAAAGGAACGTGGAGGAGAATAGGAATGGATGGATAAGTGGCGGCAAAATTTGAAATCGTTTCTTCTTTTTAATATCAAAGAGAAAAATTAAAAGTTTATCGAGAAGAGAAAGGAGATATGACAGTTCGTGATCAATCCAAAACTAATTGTTAAATGGATTAAATTATTGATCAAGTATTCGAACAAATTAAAAGATAATAATAAAGGATGAAAGGAAAGGAGTAGAAAAAAAGAAAGTAAAAGAAGAAAAGAAAGAAATCAAAAAAAGTCGAATTAATCTATCGGTATGAAATACACGACGAGGATTATTTCGATGTGCTTAAATAAACAAATCCGCTGAAAACGGATAGTTGCTTGGTTCTAAGCCGTTACCAAAATGTGATATCGTATATTTCATTGTAAATCGTCATAGAATACACACGCATACAAACGCACACGAACACACACACATATACACGCGCGCATTTTCATTGAGAGAATTACGTGGTGGAGTACGAACACAAATTTGACGTAAAAAGAAAAAAAAAAACAACAAAAGAAAAAAGCATGTCGGACAAAAAAGAAAAATAGAAAAAAAAAACAATATCAGATTTATAAAAACGAAAGTTCATATTTATGACGTATGTACCGTTATTTTCGTGACGTAACAAAAGAAACCGAATCCATACGAACATAAAAAATGAGGTTTATATTTCTCGATAGTACATATATATATATATATATATATATATACACGTATCACTATCTATATTAACAACACACTATAATGTTGTATGCACTTTTAATCTGGCATACACATACAACAGATATTTGTCCCAACTGCCAATGAAGAAAAAAACACACACATACATACATTAAATCCCATTTATAATGTTCTAATGTGAAATAGAACAAAAGGGTTAAAGAAAATTCAAGGGTAACGGATCATTACTGAAATACTTTAGGTGTGTATATGCGTGTGTATGTTGGTACTCGCGTAAGTATATATATATATAAATGATGATAGGTCTACTATTATTATATAAAAAAAAAAAAACTCCATCCTGTTTAAATATAAAAACGTTAAATTAAAATATTATTGCATGGATAATTACGAGTATTATATTAATATATATATATACACATACAAAACATACATATACACATATACAACGCATACATAAACGTATATATATATATACAAGTCAACATAAGATGATGTATTACGAGTATGTGTAAATTTTTTAATGCCATATTATGTGCTAGTAAAAAAAAAAGAAAAGAGCTCTATAATAATGGAGTACACAAACACATACCACACAAATAGAGATATATTATATATATATAGAAAGAGAGAGAGAGAAAGAGAGAGAAAGAGAGATATTGATTAGAAATCTAACGAGATTTAATTAACAATATTCTTCGATATCGATTTTCGAAAACGAAGAATTTTAAATCGATTTCTCGTTTTAGATTATTTTAAGAATATTACGTCGTGTAAGTATATATATGAGAAATGATGATGACGTATGTTGAAAATTCGAATTTAATAGTATTCTAATACGTGTGAATATAAACGATACATAACCAAAGAAAAAAAACCATGGAGAAAAAGAAATTGAAAAACTAGTGAGAGAGAGAATCTTGTAAAAGAATTTAACGAAAAGAAAGAAAAAAAAAAGGAATAAAAAAGATGGAGCAGAAAAGAAAAAAAGGAAATAAAAGAACCGATTCGGTGGATATATGAGATCGGCGCAGGATTTCAAATTTCGCGCCTCGACTTTCGCGCGCTCCGATGTTCGCGTTTGAATCGTATTGGTTTCCTTTTCTTTTTTTTTTTTTTTTTTTTTTAAATGTTTTTTTTATTTTGACTCTTATCAGCGTAATTTAATTTATGATAAAAGAGCACATTGAACGCATACGAAGAAAGATAAAAAAAAGAAAATGAAATGGAAAATGATTATAAAAATAGAAGAAAAAGAAAAAAAAGAAAAAGGAATTAAAATTAAAATAATATAAACTTAAATTTTGTCTTTCATTTGTGACGATTTCGTTTTGCCTTATACGACATTTCTAATTTTTACGTCGCATAAAATAATATATTGTGTGCGTGACACAATACAAAAAATTTCACGTACGTAACATGCCATTGTTAGATTGTCGGGCAAAACTTTAAAATTAAGGGATTAATGTGTAGCGCGCATATTTTTGTGTATATATGTACGTATAGAGAATGATGAATATGTGTGAATGTTCTATTTGTGTTAGTAAGAGAGAGAGAGAGTGAGAGAGAGAGACATAGTTATATGTAAAGGAAAAGAAAGCGTGAAAGAGAAAGGAATAATCGATGTTTATATATTATAAAATGAAGAAATTCACTTAATTATTATAATAGTGTTTAAGTATATACATGGACACGGTGTTGTCTATTAATTATGGGGCTATTGAAAGGAGACACTCATTTTTCATCCTTTGCATTTCGAAAACACACGCTCATAGAAAATATTTACACGAAACCACGTTTAGAAGATAAGTATTTATTATTATTTTATAGCGCCTTATTAATCGCGAAAAAATCGACGATGAATAAGGAATAAAAGAAAGAAGGAACGAGAAGGAGGAAGGTGATAAGAAAATGAACGGAAGAAAGATAGTAGTATGATTGAGAGAAAGATACAAATAAAACAGGAAAAAGATAAGGAAAGGAAAATAAAGAAAATGGTAGGGTGAGGAAGGAAGGATTTTTTGAATTACTTCGTACGACATTATGAAATAAGACTTTCATTGTAATTCGTATGCGTATTAGATACGGAAGAAAAAAAAACATTAATATAATTATAACAATAATAATAAAAATACACGAGAGAGAGAGAGAGAGAGAGAGAGAGAATTCCGCGATAATAATAGTTACTTACTGACATATTTGAAATGTGTGTGTGTGTATAACACATCAAAAAAAAACACTTCAACTTTATGGTCTCTGAAAGAGAGAAGACTTTATTCGATCATTATATTAAACATATTTATTGATATACTTAAAGATTTCATATGTGCATTAGTATCAAATGATGTCGAATATTTGCAGTAGGGATGTATAACGCGAGAATCACTATAATCTTTCTTTTTTTCTCTAAATTATCAAGAAAAAATTATATATATATATATGATGACAAAAATTATTCGAATATTTCTTATACCGTCTGTCGGTAACTTATCGATCTATGATTATCGACTATTGTAACTACTGTCGGCAAAGTAGAAAGTTATATTACCTATGATAGAATATGAAAATAAATTTATGAAGATAGGTCGATAATAAAAAAAAGAAAATAAGAGAGAAATATAATATATATATTTCTAAAATTAAAAATGCCTGTTGCTACGCACTATATATGATGAATTTGATATATTCTTCAAATTGTAAAATTAAATCAGTAAAGTATCAAATTGTATATTCAACGAGAAAGAGAGTAAATTGTAATTAAGCATCACCGATCTGCAGATATTTGACAAAAATAAATATAAATATATATACGTATAGATTTAATTTTAAGAGAAAAAAGAAGTAAAAAAAAACACATTTCACTTGAAAGATGACAATATATCAATATCCCACTTGTATACTTCTTCACCGTTAAAATTATGCACAATGTCTTTAAGTCGAGCGCGGATTCAAATGGAAAAAAAAAAAAAAATTAAAAAATTAATTAAAAATAAATGCTATTTAGAAAGCTGCAGAATCATTTGTTGTTATTATTGTTTCTAAAATATACTTATTTAATCTTAAAAATATAATAATATGAAATTTTTCCCTTATTATTAAAATTAATTATACATTAACTAAAAATAATTGATTAATACTTTTTTAATGATATTGAAGGGAGAATAATTTTTTTTTGTTTATATATTTCAAGGTAAGTTTTTTTATTTACTTATTTATTTATTTAATGAAAATGTAAGAAAACCTTGTTTTTTGTTAATAAAATACTTCGTACGACGATGTTGAAGGGAAAAATGATATATTTTTCGCATTTTTTTTGTTTTCTTTCTGTTATTTTTATTGAAATTTATTTTCTAGGTCACGTTTTGTGTATGAAAAATCTTTTATTGAAAAATGCTCTTCGTGCTACAACGTCAGTGTATCTTCGTCTATTTAATGACAATGATTATTATTATCATTATCATTATTATTTTTTTTTCTTTCATTTTTTTTTTTTTTTT